GAAAAGTGGCCAAAGTAATGGTCATGATCCTACAGTCCATCCAAGCCTAAAAAGGAACTACTTGACACATACAGTTAAGAATGCAACTAAAGTGATTAAACATTGAAATAAGTTCCTTAAATTGAATAATCACAAAAATTGCGGGCTACTTTTTTCTAATGTTATGAAGTTTTTTTGTTCTCTTTACATGTGCATACCCATTATTTTTCATCTGGAGTTTAGATCTTATTTATTAGAAAGAATTCTCTCCTTTCCTTTCCCCTCATTTACCTCAATCCAAACACAAATTGTGCTTTACAGCTGTTCTGTATAGGATCTAATTGCAAATATCTTGTCTGTATATCCTTCAAAAATCCACTTGGAACTTAGGACGAACACTCTTTGGTTTACAAGAAACTGAATTATTGCAGAAAACAGACAAAAAGAGAGTATGGTACTCATCAAAATAAAGAGAATCATTTACTTTAAGTAATGCTATAACAATTGAAGAAAATAGGTGAAGCAGTATAGGGGTTTTAAAATGCCAGCTACTCCTCTAAGTACATGGGTCTGGAAATGTCAGAAAAAGTAGAGTTAAGCATTATAGGTGATGCAGTCATGGAATAACCCTTGAAAGAATTGCTTACATGATTAGAAGGGATACATTATAAAATGTCAATAGAATGTAGTATCAAGGACAAACTATGTTACTTAGTCTATTAAAATGATATATTATAGTCAATTCAATTTTCAAGTGAGGAAAGAATGAGGGAAAACAAAGACCTGTATGTGAAGACAGAAAGCAAGTTTCACAATCACTGCTCGAACAGCTAGGATGCGCAATGCAACAAGCCACATGTCGATGATGATTCTTCCTTCTGCACATATCCAATGATGTGCGAACCTCTATCTTTTTGTATAATTTAAACAACATGGTCTGGGAAGAAGACTGTAAGCTTGGCTGACAATACCGGACAAAAAGTGGATGAGGATAGTGCAAGAGGAAAAGATCCTTGAGCTTAAGGTTGTTTTCAATAACAACATGGAAAAAAGATAAGCCTCTGAATTATACAGGAATTTTAACTATTTGCAAATAGGTTACTGCATTATTACCAATCAAGTATTTGTTGGTTAGCCATCAGTAAGATAAAAAGGCAAAAAGTATATGAATATAGTCATGAAAAAAATTTATGAACAACATTTGCAGAAATTGTAGCAAAACTTTAAACCTACTTGGGGAGCCTATTGAAATTGCAAGAAAAAAAGATTCGCTGCAACTTCCAGGAAACCTCCTCCACGTGGTGTGGTTGCTTAGAGACGCTGGAGGCTGAACCAAAAGGCAAGGATCAACAAGGAACAATGCAAGGTGCCGACGATTGTTGCTGGAGGCTGAACAATGCAAGGAAAATACATGCAAAAATAAATCAATCAATTGACCGAGAGAAGGGCGAACTCACCGACACCGGCGCGGAGCGGAGAACAGGGGGCGCTACGAAAAAACAGCGACAGCAAGCTTCGTCGGAGAAGAAACCAGATCTACCGCCGCAGAGGGAAAAGCAGAAATGGGGAAGAAAGGTGAGGTGTGGGTGATATGAACGACTATATTCGACAGCCAACCATAAACATATTCGTCAACCAAAGGCTGTCGAATATATTTGTATATTCGACAAAAAAGTTGTCGAATATGAATACTGTCGATTAAACAAGAAATTTCCATTATCATCGTCAATTTTACATCTTTGTCAATATTTCTATCGATTATGTACACATTTTCGACAGAAATGTGACTGTCGAATATAATATTGTCGCATATGCCGCGTTTTCCAGTAGTGTTATACTTTCAAATCAGGCACTAAAAAAACCCTAATAACACTCTGCCAATTACGTATCGAACAAAAACAAATCCAGCAATCCTAAACTCCTCAGGCTTCTTAACTTTTTGTGTTGAATTAACGTGCCAAGCAATATCTGCCCCCCAAATCAATTCACAGGACCCGTTCGAAATTTCCGAACACCAACACCCAAAAACTCCCAAGAAACCATCATCATCAAAATGCTTCCCGTTATCAGAAGCAGACCTGCCCCCATATTATTTGAAGGTTAAAGAGAAAATTCAAGCAATATGGGTGGGGTAAGTGATGTATCCATCTGTACCCAAAATTCCAAAGTTGATTGTTATAGTCAATGCTCTGCAAGTTACCAAGAAAGTGAAGGTCTAGGTGCAGGGCAATTAAGCATCATCTCAAAGGAAACCATCAAGAAAAGTCGTTACCTGGGGCCAGGTACAACTGTCTCAATTTAATTGATGATGCTTTTCCGCATTCGAAAAAATAAAAATAAATAATAGTCCAAAGTCTGGTGATCAAATGATGGAAGGAGGAGGCCAACCACTAGGATTGGCCCTTTACTCCGTGG